TTAAAAACAAATGAAAGCTATTTGACAGAAAGAAAAGGAAAGTAAAATATTATGAATAAATAAATCTGGTTTTGACTCTGAGTTTCACTGGTTTCGTGACGATTTCATAGAAGAGGGAAGTAAAAATGAAGGAAGGATTAAAGAAATAGATAAATAAAAAATAATTAAAGTGGAAAATAAAAGGAAAATATATAAGAAGAGATAACTAGCTAAAAACTAGTGTGAGCTGCNGGATAAGAAGGTAACCGGACTTGACTGGTATGATCAATCGTCGGTAGATCACTTTTGAGGCGGGAGACAACAGTTCAACTAGTTTTAGTTGTTAAGTCGTTCACTAACAAGCTGGCTTGTAATAACCAGCCGCTGAACGGTCGTTCACTAAGGCTCACATATTTTAGATAATCAAGAAACCACTCCTTTACAACAACAACAAAAAAACTAAATAACGCTAACTACACCTGTAAGTAGCTAGCATATGTTTTTCCTTGCATTCTAAAAAAGAATATATGCGTGGCTATTCTTTTCGCACTTCTTTATGGTTATCTTGAATTGGTTCTACCAAATTTTAGGTCGAGAACCGCTTCTTCTCTCTCTTCATGTTAGAAACTCTTAACTCTTCATGTTAAGAAATAATCAGATTTTCCTTCTTATGATTTTTAGTAGATTAGAGATTATAAAACTATTTAATATTCTTGTTCTATATTTTGTAGACCCCTGGCATGTAGACTATCTGCATCAGTCCATTTATATAGCTTGGTCAAGCTAAGCGAGTACTGCTCAGTGTACACCTAATAGACCTTATTCGTGGTGTGACGATGTTTTCCCAATTCAGCGTGACAAACCTCTGGGGGAATGAACAGCTATTGTTTTGCAACTCGTCGGGATATTATCCTTATTCCTTTCGTATCCTTTGGGATACTCATGAATTTTTCGAAGAATAAAAACAAAAGAAAATGAATCCCCTGGAGATTCGTCACGCTGAATTGGGAAAACATTGTCATACCACGAATAAGGTCTATTCTAATTGTAGTTTTATCTTCTCTTCGTGACATTCGAGGGCGAATATTCTCGAAGGGGGGAATAATATGTAGAATGGAAAAATATCATTACTTGTTCATTAACCTGAGGGTCAAGGATGTTTGTTCATTGACAAGGCCTTCCTGTTTTATTTAGGAAGTACTTTTTGTAGTAAGCAACATCTGCAAATCTAATGTACTTTTCCAGTAAAAACAAGTTTTGGTCATGCACAATTTTGTACATGCGAACTGGAAAAGAGCAGGGTTGTTTGCTGTACAAACAAACACTTCCTAAGCCTTCTTCTGATTTCTTGTTCAGAATTATCTTATTTGTAACTTTAAAATACTTTTAGTATAATCTGTTCTCTATGAGTTAAGCTAGCGAGCAACATCGATGGGTTTGCTGGGTCAGCTCCTAGAACTGAGTGCCCGTATTTTTTTCTTAAGTCAAAACCTGTTTCAAGCTCTTACGTCATACGTGGCCTAACTGGTTCAATCTAGTTTGACCTAGTACAAACCAGTTATGTGACGTATTACTCTAGCTTAGTCCTTAAATACGAGCTCACTCAGGGTTACTAGTTAGTCCTTAGTTGCAATCCTTAGTTATTCTGTAGTTGAAGCAGTCAATCGTAGTGCGGTTGCAGTTGCAGTTATCCTACAGTCAGTCGCAGTTAGTCAAGTTAGCAAACTCTACGTTGTACAAGACAGCAAAATAAACCCATACTAAAGAGTGTCTGGCCCAGCAGTGGAAATCTTTGTGTCCTCTAGGRAAAATATCACTCCCCCACTTTCCCTAGGCCTACGTGACAATAAGAGCATTCTGCAACTCTGAACCGCACTTTTCAGTGACCAACCAAGCTAGCTTCAGGCCTAAAGTACTCGTTTCTTTGTACATTAGTCTTAGAGTCTCACTCCTTACCATTTGGGATGCGTTTATGAATGACGCTGGAATGACGGCTAATGCTAACTGCAGATCTACAGTAACCTATTTTGAAAATGCTGTAGCTACGCTTCTTTTTTGACTTTCTGAAAGAAAGAAAGCCTTCAGTATATGAATTTTTTTCTTCCTTTAATATGCCCCGCCAAGAAGACAGAGCGACTCAAAATTAGTCTATACACTCATTGAATAGACCTCCTCGGCTTTGACGTAATGTTTTCCCATTTCAGACCACGTGTCATTCCCTAGAGTATCATTTCTTTGTTTAATGTTTGCGCTCGGTTTCACATGAGAAGACACATGAATATGGATATGGACTCAAACAAAGAATTTTATTCACAAGGGAATGACACGTRGTCTGAAAAGACTTGTACGCTATGAAGGGAATCCAGAGTGCGGAAAGTATGATGGAAGATAACAAGTATTTCATTAAAACATTCCTTGACGTGTGAGATCCGTGACAAGTTGCTTCACCGTTATAATCTACAAGTAATACGCATGCGCACTGCATCAAAATTGAGCTGCAAAAACAACTCTTGGTATGAACTATTGATTATCAAAAGTACGCCGGATTTTTTTCCTTATAATATTTTATCGATATTTGAAGGTGTAACCGAGTTATTCTCTCATCGGCTTCAACAAATTAAAAACTGAAGTAATTTATGGTCAACGTTCTTTTGTTTGTCAGACCTTTAGGAAGCAAAACCAATTCCATCAAAAAATGGACTAAAGATATATAAATTATGCATGAATCATCTTTAAACTAAAACTGAAATCATTTGGCGCCAAACTGGCCCCAAGTCCAGCTGTTATCAAGTGAACTCTTTTACAGCGAACTCCTTCGAATGTCAAAAAGCATAAGAAAGGCACAGGGAACCCAATCTTTGAAAATTTCATCTAGTATCCACGAGATCGCCTAAAGGCGGTTTCATTTATCATAAAGGGTTTTTAGATGGTTTGAAACTTAAGATAATAAATGTTACATCATTAAAACAAGGCAGAAAGTTGCTACTTTTTTATTTTTGTTAACTCCCCCCTGATTTAATACTTGTCAATGGACACCCTCTAGTCGCCTAAAAACCATGGGATCTTCCCACAAATCCTCCGATCCAACCCCTTCCCTAGTTGCTGCATAAGCATAGCGATAATTGAGCGAAACAGATGTGGAGCAAAGATCGTAATAAATATCTAAAAGAATTAGATTTTTGAATTATTTGTAGTCAAGTGAGCTTTAGACCCACACTTATGGAACCTTCTGGAAGTATCCGACATGAAGTATCCGACATGCTGAGGGAAAGACGGAAATATCAATTATGGGGATTTCCTTAGAACATTAGATGGCTCAGCTGTCATACCAATTCCTATGGCTTACTTGTAATTAGAAATTGTTTTGTTTAAAGTTTGTTCGAACAGTTGTCACAGTTTCCAAGTTCTTCGGTGAATAGATAAAAATTTGAATGAAGAGTAGAAGATTCCGAATCACATCCCTGCAGTAAACAACAGTCACATAGGTGGAAAATGATCAGTACGAACATCGTTTTACCTTAAATTTAAAGAGTAGTGTACACACCTGTTTAAAAAAATATCGGTCGCAGATCTGAAATTGTAATATATTCACAACCGAACAGTCTAGACTATGAAGTATGACCTTTTGAGTTCGAAATGTAATTTTTGGTATTTTAGGCAGAAAACATATGAATACGTATGTAAGCACAAAAACTCTGTATATGCTTAGATCGTCCATTTCAAATTACCTACCAACAACGCTTTTTTTATTTAATATTGTATATCTATTTTTTTAAATGCTGTCAGTCAGAGATCTGAATTTTTTTGTACTTTTAAGTTTTCTGGCTGAGATACGAAAGATCGCATTTCTAGCTCACAAGTCATGCAGGCTTTATATTTCAATCTAATATAAACTATGTTGTTTGAAAGTACGTTGCAAGGGAATATTAGTTCTGCAATTGAATATAGTCGGATTTGACCATTAAGTCAGTAAGGCCAATGTCAAACGTCGAACTTGCCGAGTCATTAAAGAAGACTGTCTTGTTAATGCATCGTTTCTCATGTGAAGTTCGACGTTTAAACTGTTTGTGTAGGTGCTACTTACTGTCTAAAACATGGATGTATGCAGGGAACAATAAAATGACCAAATTATTCTCTCTTGTCTTCTACTCCCCTTATCTCTAAAATGTTGCATTTCTATTCATCCAGACAGCTAGTATCTTAAATTAATAGTCTGTCAGCGACTCATATCTTCGTTTTTCTTCATTTCATGATATCATCATTGTAACATTCAAGTATTTTTAAGCAAATCTGCGGCTTCTTAACTTTAAATGTTTTCTTGTGTTAACTGATAATTTCCCTTGTTTCCGTGTTTTGCGCTTTGCCAATGTTTTGTTTACAATAAAAGCCTTTAAAATACCCTCATATCTGCCCCTCGTATCTCCTTCTATTGACTCAGTTGATCCGGTCTCTAAGGCGGTGAAATTAAACTTCTCCTCTCGCAAATCAAGCAACAAATCGTTTAATGTGTCATCTTTGTTCCTTCAATATCATCGGCAAATTTCTCTACGCGTTCATTAAACATTTAATGTTTGGTCACAAGAGAAATACTTAGCTATATTTTCCCGAGAGAGTCCGATGTTTCAGTTTCCTCCTCGGCTTCACCTCGGGGAACATCGAGGAGGCGAAGGAATTCGAAACTTTGCCGATATAACGAACACTCTCATTGGTAGAAAGATGCTATGACCACGTGACACGGGCTAAATCTGAATGTATCCCGTCTCCCTGACCGGGAAATAAGTAGATATACACCTTTTGCTGTTCATTAACCGCAAAGGAATATTCATTGAAGCGAAGAAGTATTGGCATTAGAGCGAACAGGCGTGGAAAAAGCTAGTCGCATTATATTTTGCACCAATCATAAATAACACAGCTGGAGCTGGTATTTTTCTGGAATTATTAGTACGAATGAAGCTGGAAGCAAAAAAAAAAACAAAAAAAAACAACCACACAAACCAACAGACAAAAACAGAAAATCTTCAGACTTTCTACAGAAGAAATACAGACTTTTTATTCAGAAAAAGGATTCGGAAACTGAAAATACGGCTAAAAATGCTGTTGATACTCTCCTTGTTTTTTTGTTAGCGAAATACAACACCATATATGTAGTCGTCTTCGTAGTTTTCATGTTTAAATAGCTTGCTAAAATAAAGTTCTTTTCAAGTAAATTATCTCATCAATATTTTTACATATTTATCGCTTCTGGAAACATCGAGATTCTCGGTAAAACAAAACTCACTAATTCCCTCGAGATCAGACATTAAGTGTATGATTACATCGTATTTCTTCTTTGTCGTCTTTTTCAAAAATTCCGCTTTTCTTCTTCTTCTTCTTCTTCTTCTTCTTCTTCTTCTTCTCTTTCTTCTTCTTCTTCTCCATCTTTTATTTTTCTACTGAGAATTTCGTGTTTATTTCTCAATTAGCTAGTGTACAATTAATTCCTTTGTAAAACAAGAAAAAATATGGTACCACATACATGTTCTAGTAATATATGACCACGAGTCCTAGGTTTTATATGATCATTCGAAATCTTCGAAACAGCGTGATAGACAGATAGATAGATATACAATATTGGCAATTTAATTTTTTTTTWAACTATTTACAAAAGTTTTGACGTGTTTGCGCAATAAAAAATCCGTGCAAGATTAAAGCTTTTTTTTTTTAATTATTTGAAAAAGAGCACCTTGGTTTTGTTCAATATAGTTTATTTCTCAATATGAGTACGAACGAAGTTTTTTGGCAACAGAATTCTTGAAATATAGACTTGCCCTTTCTTGAAGCGAAGCGAGCGAGCGACGAATATAGTTCATTTTTTCCCCGGAATTGTTTTTTGTATAAATGCTTAGATGCGACCAGAATTGGATACGCTTGAGTCTTAGTACATCACACTAACATCATCTACTTCTTTGCCACGTTTTTGGATATGTTATCCTTGGGATTTACGCGTGGTCGCTGTAAGCCCGACTCACTTTCAGCCTACTTGGCAGTTCTTGGACATAGTTATCTTTACTTTCCTGTGATACTGCGCCAATGACTGCGACTTTGGAGCCTCCAAAAACCTCTCTTGGTCTTCTAAGGATTTTATTAATGGTTCTAAGGTAAGCAACACGGAAATGTACGATACGAAAACTATAGACGATGAAGTTCATGGATGAGTTGGAGAGGACTGCAGTACGTATCCACATATACTTCACGCCACCAAGTTCTCTAATAACACCTTTTCCAACAGATAAATAAAAGCCAAGCAGAGGAAACCAGCACAAGGAGAAGAAGAATATCACGATAGCAATAGTTCCGGARATTCTTTTTTCCATTAATGCATCGTTAGACGTAGAGGACAAAGCAGCTGCTGGATCGTTGCTTTTTACCTTCTCACGCGTGATTTGATAGAGGATGACGACGTACGACAACACAATGATGATGTAGCTAATAATAATCAAGGCGATGGACAGTGAGAGAGTCGAAGGAAAAGGAACACGGATACTGGCAAATACAAAAGCTGTTCCCCAACAACTAAACAACATGGTTTTCAATCCGTACTTTCGCATGAGCGCTTGATGTTGATGTGGCTTCGTCACGACCATCGCTCTGTCGATGCTGATAGCAGCCAGGTGGAAGAGCGAGCAAAAGACGGAGAAATTACCTGCAATGTCGTAGGCAAAGTCTATCTCAAGAACGCAGTAGTGCCGAAAGGTCTTGAAAGTTACCGAAGTTGCATGTAACGGCTGCGCGCACATTGTTACGATTAAATCAGTGACTGCTAGACTGAGGATTAGAAAATTTGAGATTCTATTCCGAAGTTTATGAGTATTCAAGACGGCAAAGATAATGAGAAAATTCCCAAATGTTCCAACGAAAACTAGCACAAAATTGATAATGGTAATAGGTATTCCGTGGTTCAGAGGAAGGTAACATGCCTGCTTGGAAATCTCGTGAGTTCTATTCTGGTTTGTATCGCTCATGTTCCCCAGAGGAAAAGGCAACCACTTCGTTTGTAGACGGAACCACGACTGCAAACACCTTTTTCGAGTTTCTGTTTTATGATAATTCAAAGTAAAGTCTAATTTGTTGTGCTTGACACTGGGAATGGAACACACCAATCAGCGAAAAGAATAGACTAATATGGTTAATTAAATATATAAGTACGGAAATTACATGCAACTAATAGGCCTTTTGCAACAATATGTTACGTGACCCTTCCCACGTAAAAAGAGACGTTGTGTCAAAATGAACACCAGAAAAGGAAAGAGCCCCTTGATATTAGTAAAGAAGGCAACGTTTCAGCTTATGAATGTAACACAGGATTAATTAAATACAAAAACGAATAATTTATAAGGACTGTTGTTGCAAAAGGCCTATTGCAAGAACTTGTTTTGTAAAAATAAAATAGGAATTAATTAGATTGTTGTTGTTGTTGTTGTTGTTGT